TTCTGTTCTGGCACTGCTTGCAAATCGATACGACACCCGGCAGACTTTTGCGGCTGTCAGCCGGGATGTAGAGACATCGAGCCAGAGACCCACAAGCCAACTAAAGCAGAGACTAGTCAAACCTGTGTTTCTTGCAAAACGTTGTCATTTCGCTGAATCAAACTCTTGCGTGAACATGGCTGCCTCAAGGTCATTTATGCCCGCACGTGACTCAAAGGCCTTGTTTTCATTTAGCCGTCCGGTGTTGGATGGAAACACGCCCCCGCGAGCGTCGACACGTTCTCGCAAGTAGTTTATGCGAAGGTAGAAGGCAACGCATCGGAGCAAACAAGAAGCCGGGAGGTTCTTGGCCCAAAGCCAGAAGGTGCAGGAGTGTATGATTGTGTACCAGGCTTTCAGCAGGTATATTACGCGTATTGTTTTTTAAAAGAGTGTTTCTGCAAAAATGGAGAAGCTGCCTCCATGATCTGCACAGGTTTCGACTCTGTTCTCAGTCGCCCTTGCAATCACATGTTTCTTTACGGCCTGCAGTGAGTCAGCAAGGCATGCTTGCTAGCTTTGCTGAGTTTTCTGCCTTGTTTACTTTGCGAAGCTTTTGTTTATTCTCTTGAAGATCTGGCGGTAGCTCCACTGTGGCTCTTTCTCTTACAACTTGACGCGGCATGACACAAGAACCTGGTCTTATGTAGCGAAGTTGTCGTCGCTCATTTTTCTTTCATGAAAGTCGTTGCATTGGATGGCCGACGCGTGGAGACCATGTTGCTTCCAAAAGCATGTCGGCATTCTTTTGAAAGATCCCTGATCAAAACTGAAATAAGGAGACATTCACGGCACCGCAAGGGGCAAACTCCAAGCTACTCGAACGACAGTGGCGAGATCTGCAAGGCATCATCAGCTGGATTGCTCCTACAACTGAGCAGGCCGGAAGATGTTCAGAAGATGTTGGAAGAATATGCGTGACACGCGTGCGTTCAGACAAATTTGCCAGATGATGTGCGATTGCCACCCCAGCTCTTGCTCTGTAATAGCGTAGTAGCCATCCGGAATACAAGCCAGTCCAGATTTTTCAAGGTGCACGGTGTCCTGGTGTTGCTTGCTATTCGAGCCCTTGGCAAAAGCAAGACGGTGCTCCGGCAGGCAGGCGTGCCATGTTGAGGGTACCGGTTCCTCCTCTGCCTTTGTGTGTGGAGGTTCCTAAGAATGCCCGACGGCCTGAAAGAGCCATCCTGTATCTTATTTCCAGTTGGAGGCTCAGTGACTCTCTCCTTAGTGATGCTTTGCAGATTGAGACCGTGGAACTGTTCTCGAAAGCGCAAACACGTAAGGAAGCTGAGAGGCTCCATGTTAAGGTTGCCACCCTTAGCTGAATCCGTTGTAGCTGCAGCATGAAATAAGGCAGCAGGGAGATGTTTTCGAGAGTCAGCCAGCATTCCGAGTCCGAGGTGAACAGCACGTTGTGCCTTCAGTCCGTTTTCTCAGCGAGAGAGCTACCTCCTTTGTTCAACAAGCGCTGGAAGTGCACGAGAAGTTCAACTTGGCACAGAAACCTGTCTGAATCTGAATCAAACCAGTGTTGCTGTGTATGCTGGCCTGTGGAATGATTGAAATGCCACCCTCCTTTCTCGGGACCTCGTCCCGCGCGGGTGTGGCTGTTCAAAAGGTTCTGAGAGTCCTGGCGTGTGACGCGCCTGCAGGATGCTACAAGGCGAAAATGTTCCCGGCAGTGTCCTGATCCTCCAAGATGTCATCCAAGACCTTGAGGAGGATGGAGAAGAAGCGTCTTGGCAACGACTGGTGATCGGTGAGTGTACGGGTAGAGCATGAACATACAAGTTCTCCCCGAGGTCTTCCACTTCTACATTCTGTTCCTCCTCGGCTTCATGTGTGGACTGGCAGGCGGAAGGGGCTCCAGGCTGCCCGGCTGCAGGATGGGTGCCTCCTGCGGCTTTTGTGTTTGTCTTGTGACACCTTGTATATTGTACTGAAGCGTGGACCTCTCACACATTACCCGATTTCCGGAACGGTCAAGTGAATCTGGGAGCACATCAGGTTCCTCGACAGCAAGAATGCGGAAGGAGCCCTGGCGGCTTTCATCACAAGCTTGCCGTGGCTGAGTGGGTTTGGCTGATCCAGTAAGATTGGACCAAGTCCATTCTTGAAACTGGTTGACGTTATTCACAGATGTCCGCATGCTGAGCTAAGGAGTCATCTCTGGAATTCGCATGCTGCAGCAACTTCTCAATGGCACCCCACGTGGAATCTATTGGGGCTTTCTCAGTGCACCTCGCCTGCAGACTCCGCAGACCTGCCTTCGTTGACTGGCGGGATTCCCGATGTGATTTAGCCACGCTGCGCGTCGGAGTGTGCAGCTGGCTGGTCCTTCCCGAATGCATCTACCACTGTACTCCAGCTGTCGCGCGTTGCACAATCGAAGTTGCAAAGTGTCAGGCAGAGAATGTTCGAGGTACTAGTAGTTGTGCGAGCATTGAGTGAAAGGCCATCATGCTGGCGGAATTTAAGCAGTAAGTCATGGCCAGTGTGGGCATTCTTCTCGGTCCTTGCTTGCGGTGCACTCAGGCTCGTGCACAAGCCCTCGGCTTGCCGAAGGAGACAGCTGAGGACTGCTTGTAGCCACAGCGTTCTTGGTACAAGTACCAGCTGTGGTCACTGACCTATGGCGCGACAGGATCTGGTTCTTGTCCGCATGGCCTGCCTCGCGCGTGTCACAGACGATTCCGGCTACATCCATCTCCGCAGCAGCTGGGATGCTTTGGGCTACTTGGCTTGGCAGCTAAAACTTGTGCAGTACTACCGGCACGGTATGTCACGTCATGTCAGTGGCTTTCTGGGTTTCAGGCTTCCGTGAGAGAAGCATCCTGACGGAGCACTTCTTGGCAGACGGCATCAAAGACCGAGCGTTTATTTTCGAGTTTCTTCCAGCTTGTGCAGCTCGAGCGCAACCGTTGTCAGTCACTGTCGCAAGGATGGACTGTTCTAGACCGCATGGTGGACGGTACTATGTAGATTCGCTTGACTGTTCCAGCACTGCCAACCTGGGGAGGGCAGAGACTGGATACTTGTAGTTGATTGCTCAAACGGGAACGCTGTCGAAGGTAAACCATGCCCAGACGAACCCTATCATCGGTCTTACACTGATGTTGGAGGCGCGACTGTCTCGCCCTGCAAAAGCGTGCAGTGCAGATCCTGACATGTTCCCGCGGACGAGGTCCTCGTGGATCTTTTGAGCAATCTGGCCCTTGCTCTTCCCGACTTGGCCGTCAATCCAGCTGAGAAACTGATTACTGTGGACCTATCAGACATGAGCGAATTCGCATCTCGGCATGTTCTGGAGTATCTGATCGGCCAGCGAACGGGGACAAGCCTCGATCCAGGTGGCTGTTGTCCAGAACCGCTTCGTGTTCCAGACGTGCATGGCGCGTTCACGGCCACCAAGCTCGATATACTGCTGCATCCGTGCCTGAGCATGAAGTAGATCACTAACTCGCATCACCGCACTTTGTGAGGTTCAACAAGGTAGGGCACCGCCTCCGAGTGGAGATGACGGGAGGGAACTGGGCCAGAACGAGCGATGTTGATTCGGACATGACGACACTGGCCTACGGTATTAAGGACAGACTCTTCTTTCGTGTCACCAATGACATTCCTTGGGTTTCGTCGGTTGACCTGAAGAAACGATACAACACCATGCCCTGTCCTGTGCAGGATGTATTCATGCGGCAGCATCTTGTCACAGACCGCTGTAAGCCACCGCGGACTCGCACGTTTGTGTCAGTTCAAAGTCAGCACAAACCCGATCGCTCGGCTCTAACATGCAGCTGAGGCAAGCCCTGGAATCCCTGGTCAGGCAACACTTGCATATGACAGCGTTGGACAACTACAAGGATTATGTGCGGCGCGAGAAGTACTAGTTCTTTTGCCTGTGCCGAAATCCACAAATCAAGGCAAAGAAAGGGTTCAACTTGCGCGAGAGAGACTGTTTCTCGTGGCCGCCCGATTCACAAAATTCCCGGCCTGCAAAGCAGGCACTAGACAGTCTCAAAAGGGCTCTTGCATGACAGCCAGCCCAGGTCCAAACCGAGTGTTTCACGATCGGCCCCCTGACTGTGTCATGTTGGGCTGTCGTCGTACAAAGTTACCTGCACGGTGTGGATCGTTCGGGCGAGTTGAAAAATGCTTGCTCGCCATGTGGCCTCTGCTGCCGGACCAGGTTGCCGCACATGTGCACATCTGTTGCAAGTTTACTAAATCACATCTCGGACAAGTACCCTACCCCGGGTTTGTCCATGCAACGAGTGAACCATTGGGAATGGGAGACAGAGCATCGAATCCTGATAGAACTTGGCCCGGATTTGGCTTCGCCATGCTGTTTGTAATCCTGGCCGTGGCATGTGATCAGGGAGACCACCCTGCGAACATCAGAGGCCTATGCTATGGCAACGTCGCTTGTTGCGTGGTTTTTGAAAGCGAAAGGTTCAAGCGTGATGGGGGGAGTCTTGCGGCTCCAGGAATCGTTTCCCAAACCACCACAAGCAACTAGGCTAACTAGGCAGTTTGTTTTGATTTCGGAGGCGACATGTGGTGACCTGACCTGTATCTTCTCATGTGTGAGAGACTGCCGCAAAGTCCGCCCCCTCACGTTTCAGCTGACACCAGGAGGGTCTGTTCTTGAAGCTGGGCATCACACACAGCTCCAGACATGATGTACGAAGTTGGAAGCATTGCGGCTGACACAGGAACAAGAGCCTGTCATCCAGTCGCTACTGGCGTTCGTTAACGTTCTCAGTCGCAAGCAAAGCATTTGCACCTTGATGCTTCACGAACTCCATCTTAATCTAGCAATATACAATTCCATCGGACCAAGCATGATCACATCCCATCTACAGCGAGGTATGAGACAGCAGAGCCATCACTCTAAAAGCACTTTCGCAGCAGACCTTGACAGCACACACAAAGTCGACTTTTGCTGACAAGCTTCCGTCATGGCGCCGCCTTCTTACTGAGATTGTGTTGGCTTGATTGCACCACACTGCAAGCATCTGCAAGCGGGAAGCACGACCAGTGCTAAGGCTTGGCCGTTATGCGATTGTTGCAGCGGCTTCCGCGAGTGCTGGCGTTTATGTTGGGACCGAGAAGGACCAGATCAAGGCTGCTTATGCTCCTTGTCAACATGCTTGCTGAATTTGGCCTAAGGCCTTTGTGAGTCAACGGTGCTTCGAGGAACGCGGTTGTCTCTAGTTGCGGCAGTACTCGATTAGCGAGAACATTTTGCTTGATTCGGGCCGCTTCATTCACAAAGCTCTCCACCTCCCTGTGCTGCGTCGCCGACACTCCGTGGGTGCCGATCGTGGATTCTAAAGTGAGGTTTCTTATTAGACTTGCTCTTGTGCTTGCTTCCAGATCTGGCCCTTGCTGCTGCTTGCGAAGTCACACCACGTGCGCGCAAGACCAAGACCAAGACCTGTCCATGTTAATCACGCCTGGGAGGTGCTTCAGCCAGCCTCCGTTAGACAAAACACTCAGCGACGGGCTTTGCAGTCCAAAGGAAAGAAAAACTTGTAGTTGCAAGATGTTGCAAGTTTGCAGAGACATGCTTTCCAAAAACCCTGAAATTGAGGGCAACACCACGCTATAGTCTAGGGACCGTGTCATGGCATGTTCACTTTTTCAGACAGCCTGTCCGCCCAGGCGAAAGTCAGAGGGATGTTCCATGGCAGCACCATGTCCTTCAGAAGTTTCTTGACATCCGCAAGTTGCGTGGTCATGCTAGCAAGCTCTCGGTGCCGAGGCTCGGCTTTCGGCCTCAAAGCGTGGATCTCACAAGTTCTACCGCCATCCTGGAGGACCAGCAATTCTGAGGAAGAGAGCCGGCTCGATCCTTCGCCGGTGGAGCCTTGCAAAGTCTGCTTGGAGGGTCGTCAATTACACTTAGCCATTTGGGAAGCATTACTAGTGGTGATGGTCGTCGTCATGGTTTTGGCGGTAGTAGCAGAGGTCGTGCAGGAGAAGTGGTACTGGCATTCCGTGTTGTTGTGGCAGTGGTAGTAGTCGCAAAGAGTGGGTGAAAGATACTAGGATACTGAGAGATAGTAGTACCCATTTTCGGTTCCCATCGCTTACCGCAAGATGCAGTACTACCTAGTAGTATCATGTCAGACCGCCTCACTAACACACATTACTGGTATTGGTAGTGTTTACAGTATTCGTTGTCCGTGACGTCAGTCGTGTTTTGAATCTCTGCTCTGTTTTTGTCTTCTGCCTGTGTGCGAGCTTCAGAACTTGACAGTTGCCTCGCGGAGCTTTAGTAGTAGTAGTAGTAGTAGTAGTAGTAGTAGTAGTACTCCCAGTTGCGTAAGTCGTTGCGTTTTGTTTGTGGCAGCGGCAGACACTCGGGGGAAGGTTTTTTTGTGAGGTCGTTGCTTTTCGGCGTGCACATGGGGGAGAGGCTTTGAAGATGATGATCTGCGGTGTTCTCCACTCCCGGTGTGGGGTTGTTAGATTTTAAAGTCGCATCGCATTGTGTTTAGTCGCATCGATCTAGTGTGCAAGAGGGGAGGGATTCCGGTAGAACGCAATGATGCCACGTATGTGTGTGTCGAGCGAGGTCTACATGGGGAATGGCTGGTTTTGATATGTTGTGCCGGCATCTGTGTGTCGAGTTGGTGCTTGCGAAATCCAGCGTTTACATGGGGAGTGGCTGGTTTTGATGTGCCATGATACGACTGGTGTGTCTCGAACGGGTGCCTGTGGAATCGCATCGATCCAGCGTGCAAGAGGGGTTTCCGTGAAAACGCAATGATGCCATGCATGTGTGTCTCGAACGAGTAGGCCCTTGGTTTCCTAGCCACACAAGGGGTATCGTTCAAGGTATCGTTCCGGGTCCACATAGGATACACATTTTTGAGCCCCCTATTCCAATTGGCCTGGATCTTTTAGGCTGTGGATCGCGGTGAATGCAACTATTCCCCACCAGCCCTCAAGGGCGATAGTGACTAGTGAGCTAACCACGGGTTGCGAGTTGGGAGTTGCTCTTGTTGCTGCTGCTACTAGTGCTACTACTAGGCAGTCGTAGTCTTTGTGATTCGAGCCCGAGGTGCCTCAAGTAAGACTGGTTACTGACCAGGAACGCACAGATGCAGTCAGAAGAGTTGAGCTCCAGATGGATGCAAAACAATCTGGTTCGGAAGGTGACGGGGCATGGCTGGGGATGATTGAAATAAAACATTGCGGCCAGGCCACAGACAGTGCTGTCATGCTGTTGTTGTGGGTTGCGCGGGTGGCCTGAGTATGTTCTATTATGTTCTACAGCATTCTGGCAGGAAGCCCTGAACTTGACGAAAGCAACGCCGCAGAGCTGCGGAGTGCTGTCCACGATTCAGTCAGGCCGCAGCCTTACCGGGCTCTGGAAACCTCAGCACATGCGAGAGTGCGACATGTGTCGGGAGACCCTGTGACTAAGCAAAGAGGAGTGTGACTGAAATCCACCCTTCGCACTTGGTGTGTGTGTATGCTGCAGCTCTCTGGGCTGCTGCTCCGTGAGAACAAGATCTGCTGCAAAGTCGTTTGTTCTTTTGGATCTTCTCGGCTGCGCGCGTAAAGCAGCCACGAGACATGTATTCTGCAGGTGCGATTCTTTTGCACCGTTTTCTATGATTTCTATGCTCATCAGTCTGCAAGTCCTGGGCGGTATTTAGGTGTGTTGCGGCTACGTAATCTCCTCCTGCACTGGAACGATCCGTTGGTTCTGACACTTCAGCCTGAGCAAACGCATGAGCACGGCTTCTGTGGAGAATGCAGTCGAACGCTGATGAGGCGGCGTCGCCTCGCGAGTTATCCAGCTGCGGGAGCCCTTCGGAATTCCGGCTGCACATTCCGCTGGCGCATTCGAAACGAATCGCGTACGCATGTCTCAAATCCAGAAAGGCTCTTGCATGCCGATAAGTTCGTGGATGTTCACGTAGCTAGCAAGGTGTGCACCGAGATGGTGACGATGTGTTCATCCACTTCTTCACCTCGGCTGCAAGCCGCAAGCCTGGCCCTCATGACACAGTTGGTCAGCGCGGGCTGTGTCCTAGCTGGGTGGGACGGGTGGTGGGAAGGCACTAGCCTTGCCGCCCAGCATTGGAAACTAGCAGAACTACTCGTAGTGTTTCTGCACCACTCAGCTCGAGCGGCCAGTGGAGGCAAAGTAGATATTATCGACTCTTCGCACAGTGCGGGCCATCTGACCGTTGTCAAAGCATCTTGATTTCACGTTGGATTGTCCAGGTTTCGGGAACTGTCGCAGAATCCAAAGACAGCCCTTTTGTGTTGGGATCCGCAAACTTTGACATATGTCGGTGCCTGAGCTTCGCGCAAGATCGGGCGGGCCCGGCAGTGTAACGCGCCAGCTCCTCCTCCGCTCAGGTGACATTCCAAGGGCCGGCGCGAGAGCTCTCGGCAGCTGAAGGCAAAAGCTTCTGGCGAGAATGGATGCAAATCTTGTACAAGGACATGGCCCAATAGCCCCGCCCAGCCCAGCCCAGCCCAGCCCAGCCCAGCCAGCCCTGCCCACCCCAGCCCCAGCCCCAGCCCAGCCCAGCCCAGCCCAGCCCAGCCCAGCCCAGCCCAGCCCAGCCCAGCCCAGCAGCACCAGCCCAGTCCAGCCCAGCCCAGCCCACAGCCCACAGCCCACAGCCCACAGCCCACAGCCCACAGCCCACAGCCCACAGCCCACAGCCCACAGCCCAGCCCAGCCCAGCCAGCCCAAGAATCAACATGCAAAAGCAAAAGGAAAAATCCGGCAAAACCTCCCCAAAACCCGGCAAAACCTCCAAAACTCCGGACCCAAACCCTATACAATTTCTACAAACCTTAAACCCTAAACCCCAAACCAAGCCAAGGTTTGGTCCAGATCCCTCAGGACCACTCCCGGGCTATCAAGGAGGTTATGCCCAGCCTTCCCAGAGCCTCCGCAGGGATTCGGGTTTAGGGTTCTGGGGTTTAGGGTTTAGGGTTGTGGGTTGGGATTTAGGGTTTAAGGTCCTCAGTTTGAAGGTTTGGTCATGGTTCTTGCATACTCCAAAAGCAGTTTCGCGATGATGAGCTTTGCTCACTATGTCTAAGGAACCCATACTGGGGAGGTGCCGGCCAGGGCACGCAACTGGCTCAGTCATCGTCATCTTCAGGCACACAGTCCGGCTGTTGCGCTGTCCCATCGCTACTCTTGCTGCTGCCGCTGATGCTGCTGTCGTTGCGGCGGCGTCTGCAGCTGCATGTTCTGCTTCTCCGACTCCTCCTACTCCTGCTCCGGCTTCTGCTCCTGCTCCTGCACTGCTCTTGCTACTGCTGCTCCTGGTACTAGTTCCTACCAGTTGTTGTGCAACTACATCCCTGAGCCCTTTCTTCATTCACGAGGCCTACACTCGCGCACGTAAGCCCTAATGTCAAGCCCGGGTCTATCCCAAACCGTAAATGGCCGAAGCCCTAAACCCCACACTGCACAACATCACGCCCTGCCAGGGGGATTCATGACAACGGCTGCACCGAATGGCAGGGCGTGGTCGGACACTGAACTCCAGAATTGGCTTTTAAAGTTTGGGCGTTAAGGTTTATGGCCTGTGGGGTTCACTGGCTTTGGGTGTAGAGCTATGGATCTTTTTCGTATTGGTCTTCGTATGTTTGGCTAAGACTCCGGGAAACTAAACAAGCCAAGAAGTTTTATGGTCTGCAGGCTCCCAGATTATATAGGGGCCTTACTAATTACCAATACGATTTTGGGGCTTCCTTATTATAGATGCAGCATGCTGGACCCCAAAACCCTATGCTAATCTTTAAGGCCCCTATACTAAACCCTTATAGTAGCCCTTATAGAAGGTTGTCGCGGTTTTTGTTTACTGGTAGTTTGGGCTGCTTTAAGGTTTGTCTTACGTGGCAGGCGTGGGACTTTTGTGCATAAGCTAGTTTTGGGGCCTTAAAAAACTAATCCTTCTAGAAGTCCAGATCTGTGCAACTTCAAGCACCCAAGAAACTGATTCAGAACGACCTTGCCCGACAGGATACTAAGAATACTTGTGATTGTTCTCATGATTGTAAATTATTAATATTGTTATGATTATCGTGGCTTCTTAGAGGGGTTCAGGGCGTAAGGCTTTGGGAGAGGTCTTGGGAGATGGCCAAAGGACATTTTCCGAACCCAAAGCCAGATTCGTGCCTGCTCTCTGTGGGAACGGACGGACTTTGTGTGGAGGTTAACATGGTTGGGACATGGATGCTTTGTGGGAACACGGATGCTGGATGCAAACACTGGACAAAAAACACAGGAAAACACAAAACCTTACGATAAAACACACCAGAATGCCGCCTATCTGCAAAAACACACACACACACACACAAACACACACACTCACACACAAAAACACACACACACACAGACAAACACACAAACACACACACACACATACACACACACACACACACACAGAACCAATTAAAGGCGCCCCAAAACCCTATTCTAACTTGTAAGGCCCCTATATTACTGGTATTGGAGTTACCTGTAGGCACACTTGCCGTGGGATTCTGAGAGTTGGTTGGGACTCCCGGCTCCGGGGTTCGTGCTTTGGGGTTTAGGGTTTAGGGTTTAAGGTTCAGGGTTTAGGTTTTAGGGTTTAAGGTTTAGGGTTTAGGGTTAAGGGTTTGGGATTTCGGGTTTGGGGTTTACAGTTTTGGTTTAGAGTTTTGGGTTTAGGGAATTAGGGCACTGGATTCTGCTGTAAAGTCTCGTTCTTTGTTTGGCGGCTTTTATGCCTAAACCCTAAACCCTAAACCCTGAACTCCAGCATCTCGTGAAAATTGAGGCCCTGCCTTAGTAGAAGAAGCCGAGAAACGTGTCAGAAGCATCCAGGGACTCTAGGAGTGGGGCCCTGAAGTGTAAGGTAGGTTTAGGGTTTAGGGTTTAGGTGTTGGGGTATATTATACTAGAACTCCAAGGAGGAACCCCCCAAAAGAGTATTTGCAATTATTTAGGCTCCTATGGTACAGCAACAGCCACTTAGGACTACTGTGCCAACACGACGCCCGAGATCGGCTACAATGGAAGTTTAACCGGAAAGTGGGGGGAGTGTCTGGCTTGGGCTGTCGTCTTCGAGCACAAGGACCGGAAACACGACAGACTAGGCGTTTGGGTTCAGGGTTTAGGGTTTAGGGTTTAGGGTTTGGGTTCAGGGCCGTGACGTAGTTTAGCATGTCCGAGCTTACGGTTAAAGTAGGTCCTGAACTCCTCAACTGTGTATTGCTTCTGAGGTTCCTTTATCAAGGGATGAAGATTTAGAGCTTTAGGTGTTGTTGACTTTAGAAAGGTAAACTGCTCGAAGTTTCGAGATTTCAGGTGAAGGTTGGTCCACACGTGGCTATATATGGGTAGTTCTCCAAATTAGGGTCCCTTTTAGGATCCTTTTTAGGAAGGTGCCGTACTATATTGGGGACCTGATAGGACCCTGTTTTAGAGAACTACCCAATTAGCTATCCTTGCCTAAAGGATAAATATAGTTGAGCGGTGATCCCAATGAGCCTGCGCTGTGGCCGTTAACGTTTCGGGCTATTGGAGCACAGACGCGCCCTGTCTTGTCAGTTCTGGCAGGAACCTGCATAGGAACTTGCCTCAACCTCCCTGAGTCCGTTTCGTGTGTGCACAGTGAGCGTGGACAATTGTATCTTTCACTGATTAATAAGCCCT